CCACTAAGAAGAATATATGCAGTGTATTATTTGTTGAAACTGTACTTCCGATTTGATTTGAAACTGTCTCATTGCTATCTGTTTATCAATAAAACTCTGAAAAAAAAAAAAAGAAGTTCAGGACCATGGCACCATTAACTGCTTGGCTTTCAGTAAGGGCTGAGTGTTGCTCTGTACCTGGTAGAAAAGTATATCATTACTTGGCATATGCTAACAGATCACATGACAGAAAAGAGGAAGTGAGAACAAAGAGAAAAGCCAAAGTTGCTCTGTAACAACGCACTCTCACAAGAATTAGTCCACTCTTGTGGGAGCTATATTAATCCTTTCATGAAGGTGGATTCCTCATGACCCCCAAAAGAATCAAAGAGGTTGGATGCTGAGGAGACCCCATGGTGTAGATGGAAGGAAAAGGAAAGGGTGGAATGAAACTGAAAAGGCTCAGATGGAGACTTCAGGAGGCCTTTGAGGCCCAGGGCTCAACAAACTCCTGTTGACCACCAACCAGGTAGGGAGGAGACAGGTCAGTCATTGTATTATGCTGGAAAGAAACTCCAGCCACTCATCTACTTTTAGTTCCCTGGCTCCCAAAACCTAAAAGCTGCCCATAAGTGTCAGGATGGCAACATGTAAATAGTAGAACTATGAAATGAATTAAGCTAACGTAGAGATTGCTTCCTTTAGTTGCTTTCAACACGGTACACTAAACTTGCATATAACCGTAGAAAGGAGGCCAGGAGGAGAGAAATCATTAATATGCCCTTTTTTTCTTGTTTGTAACTTTTAGATTTATCGTTGCTCACAAAGCCAGAAAATTGGCACGACTTACCAAAGAAGAAAGGTAACAAAAGACATTTGTTCTTCTCCATCTTCCTTGCCTCCCTGCTCCTTTCCTGCATTGTCTCCCTCACTCTCATTTCTCCTCTCCTCTCCCTCTTTTCCTCCCTAGCTCCCCTCCCCAACCCTTGCTTCCCTCCTTTTTTTCCTTTTCTCCCCTCACCCTCCTCTCAATTCTCCTTCCTTTCCTTCTTTTTTATCTACTTGCTTGCCTTTCAATTTTACCTAACTTTTTACCTTAGAGATTGCCTAATAATATATGTGTTGTCCATGCTACATGTCTGCTATATAAATTATAAGGGTTTTGTAGAAAGGCTGTGCTGATAAATTAAGAAGCAAAACTTCAAATATTTATTGAATATGTTGTACACAAGATACCGTGATAAGAACTATAGAGGCTATGAAAATGGATATGTCCCAGTGCTGAAAAAATTGCCTATTGCAGAGCAATATATGAGCCACACATAAAATTATAGATTATAGGTACAAAGGAACTAATTCTCTGGCAGTTGCAATTTCTTCTGACAATAAATGTTCACCACTGCCAATTGTGTGTTGCCACACTAGTACTAAGACAAACAGGACAAATGGAGGAAATGAAGGCAATGCATGCTACACATGGAGGAAATGAAGCTGGACTGCTACATCACTTCTTACACCAAAATATATTTTAAATAGATTAAAGACATTCATATAATAGATGAATCCAGAAAAGTATGGAAAATGGGTAATTAAAAAAACTTATGGAGTAGGGAAGTCTTTGTTATGCATGATAAACCATTTAGAAGCCCTGGTTTAAAAATCAATAATTTTTTTTTTTTTTTTTAACCAGTGATTGAACTCTTTCTCTTGTGCTTGCCAGGCAAGTACTTATTCTACTCAGCCATCTCCCTGGCCCAAAATTGATAAATTTGACTACATAAAAAGATAAAATTTGGGGCTGGTGAGATGGCTCAGTGGTCTAAAGCACCTATTTAGAACAAGCTAAGCTAAACAAAGCACAGGGACCGCGGTTCAATCCCCCAGCACACATGCCAGCCAGCCCTGCCCCCTGGTGGGCTGAGCTGGCCA